GCAGTAACACTGCTACACAAACTGATTTGTTATTTTTCAAATGTAGTTTAAGGCTGGTGCTAGTCCCATCTGTTTCCTGAATTCATTTGTGATTGTCGCTTGTTACATTTAACTTTGTCACCTCCATTTAACTTATGTTGTTTCGATTTTCCTACTTACTGTAAATGTTTAACCCTTTTTCATCGAGAAACCATAAAACCGATATTTCTGGCTGGTCCCATTTCCTCGTAAGAGGCGCTTCCTGAATTGCTAGAGACATGTTTAGCAGACAGCTAGCTACAAAATTCATTGCACCTGCCTAGGAGAAGCGGCTGGCCAAACGGTTAGAGCGCTGGCCTCTCAAGTGGGAGACCCGGGTTTGAATCCTTGGTAAGGCTGGGAATTTTTTCTGTCGGGGCAAAATAAAATCCTCACCTGTACAGTTGTGGCGACAGCACTAACCATGCAGCGATATATCTTCAGGCTCAACCCCCCCCCCCCCCCCCCCAACCGTAAAACTGGTATAATAAAGACAGTAATTGTCATTTGCCTAAACATTCAGTGCATCAGGGGATCTTCTTCTTCTTCAGCACTCCGAACCCTTGAGGTTCACTGCTGCAGACATCACCCGCATTCATTTATCTCTCTGGTTGGCCTTCTCTTTCCAACTGGTAACACTGAGTGCTTGTAGGTCTGGATATTATCTCTCCATCATCTTCTTGGTCTGCCTCGTGGTTTAGCATTTAGGAGGGTTTCTTTAAAAAAAAAAATGGCTTTACAGAAATTCCGAGGTCATATTTTCCCCATTGGCTACAGTGGTTGGCAACCGGGTAAGACAAGTGTCATGCTATAATTAGTTTAAAGGCACCATGAGATGTAAGACAGTTTGATTATTTACTGCATTCACTTTTACCGATAACTTTCCTTACTCTTATAGTATTTGTTCAGTGATTTATATGATAAATTAATTTTTGCACTAGTTTTATGTGAAAATTGGTTGTGGTTCTAAGAACTTGTGGCCTAGGTGGTGTGAACGTGATTCGTAATGCTAGGGTGCTGGATTTGATTCCAGTTGCAGGTGATTTGACAGCAGACCGTTTTGCATTGGTTCTGACAGTGGTACAGAGAGTTGACTGTTCCGAAAGCAATGGCAAACCATTGAATGTAAATCTGCCTAGAAAAACCACAACAGGCTTGAAAAATGCTGAGGTTGATTCTATGTCTTGTAAAGGATACGCAACTAGCTTAGTCTTTTAATGGGTCTGAAATACTGCACTATTTTTTTTAAATTTTAAACTGTTGTGAAGACTGTTGAACTGTGTTGTTGTGAGATCAACTGTTACATATTTGTTTTGATATACTGATAAAAAACAATTCTAAGGGACACAGAGTAAAACGTAAAATAGTGATTTTCATTCACCATTTAAAGCGTGTGCACTGCCACTAGTTTTGCATGTTGGCTGACTGGTTTAAACTTTTATTTAAAAAAATGCTTCTGAAATCTACCTCTACGTGTATGTTTCTGATAAATTAGCACAAATACCACCATGTCTTGCAGCCACACAGCAAGCAAACTGCAAATTGACAAGGAAAGCGGACACTAAAGAATGCCTACAACCGATTTCAACCCCACAAGCACATACACTTTATTTATAAAGCCCGAAAAGAACCTCAAAGCTGCACACTATTTTCTTGTACAATTTAAAACAATGACCTGACATACAAAAATTGTGGGAAAATGTTTCAGTAACAAGTAACCATAATTACCGTAAACAGCAGATTACAAGTCTGCCTGGTGTACGAAGTTGATCTAAACATTGTGTTGCTGATGATTCTGATCATGTTTATACATACCGTACAGGTTGACCCCAAACATTTCTGTGTCAGTATGCCAAATATACTATTCAAAAAAGAAATGCATAGCTACTAAAAAATACACAATTTTGTCATAATTCTGAAAATGTTTGTTGATTTAATGAGTGGAATTGTTCACACTGCACACAATTCCTGAGGATTTAACCAATCAACTGAGAGTCCTTTTTCATCTGGGTCATCGATAGTTTTTTGGCGTACTGTCTTTCCTATCAACTAATTTAAAGCGTGCCATCAGATAACTAAGCATTTCTTTGTGCGAGTATGTGTGAACAGTACATGTTTACCAAACACAGTTTAGTGGGGTATATTTGTGGCAGCCTGCCGGAGATATGGTAGGTAGTGAACACCTGATTGTTAGGAGTGATATCTTACTTGTTTACAATTAAATTAATCCCTAGTTTTTGGAACGGCTTTTTGTATGACTGGAAAATAAACTTATACGTCACAATTTACAGTAAGTAACAAGAAGCATTAGGTCCGGTGAGATGAGGGTGCCTGTTTAAGTATGAAGCAATTCTGTTAAACTTTCTAAAATAAGTTTTAAAAAAAAGCAGACTGAGTTTTGACAAAGAGTCTTAGAATTCGTTAACTTACTCTCACACACACACACAAAAACTTACATGCAGAAATGAAAACAAAGGAAAGAAACATGAACAGTGAATTAATGAGTGAATTAAGCGTACATGAATGAAATAAGAAGGCAGGGGTTAATGTTAATGAAGCTGAAGTAAATGCCTGTTACTATAATGATATAATGACAATAGACATTATTAATTTACATGTTAATGTGGGAGTTTACACGGCCTTGCTGCACATTATATAATCTAACTATACACTATATTACCTAATTATACATTACATACCCTAATTATACATTATAGTTTAGCTATACATCACATATTTGTTTATAAATATACCTATTGTGAAGCAATGAGCCAGCCGAAACAGGGTGCAAATACTTTGACCACAAACAAATATAAAACAAATGAGAATGACTTCCAGATCTGAACAAAGTCAAGGTGTGGGCAGGTTTGATATAAAATGAAGTTTTTAATGAACAAGAAATCACTATGAAATATGTGCAGTAATATTATACAGTGTGGGAGATCGATAGATTAAACGAGGAATGATAGAGAAAAAGAGACGGAGAAGGAGGGAAGAGAGAGAGAAATGAGAGATACAGAAAGAGAGAGACATGGAGAATGAAAATAATCTGTGGGGGGGGGGGGGGGGAATTAAAATAAGGGCAGAAAAAAAGGAGAGATAAACAAGAAAAAGACAAAGTAAAAGAGAGAGAAAGGAAGAGGGATAGATTAAGAGAAGGTAAGAGAAAAGGAAGAGATGAAGCAGAGAAAGAAGGAAAGAGAATAAGCTAAGATGAGCAATTTTCTTTAATCAAAGTTTTTCAACCAAAACTCATTCAAGCATGAATTCATATTAGCATTCTGCCAGAGCAAAAATCTTTTTCGCATAATTCAAGCAAGTATGTGTTGTAGTCTCAATTTTGTTATGAATATTGATGGAAAGCATAATGAGGGTGATCTTCCTGTCCTTCCACTGGTCTTCCTGTCCTTCCACTGGTCTTCCTGTCCTTCCACTGGTCTTCCTGTCCTTCCACTGATCTTCCTGTCCCTCCACTGATCTTCCTGTCCTTCCACTGATCTTCCTGTCCTTCCACTGGTCTTCCTGTCCTTCCACTGATCTTCCTGTCCTTCCACTGATCTTCCTGTCCTTCCACTGATCTTCCTGTCCTTCCACTGATCTTCCTGTCCTTCCACTGGTCTTCCACTGATCTTCCTGTCCTTCCATTGATCTTCCTGTGCCTCCTGTGGCCCTGCCAGCAAGCCAATCCACTCGTTCATTCCTTTTTACCCCCCAGAGTGTCCTGGCACAAAAATGAAACTGATTTATATCAGATGAGATTTTCTCAGACACCAAAAACTTACTGTAACACTTCTCATTTTTGTTCTTATTTGATTAGTTACACACCTCCCCCCCCCCCCCCCCCCCCCCAAAAAAAAAGAAGAAATTGCAGGCACTAAATATCATAAGTAAGAACATAAGTATCATTTTTTAAGGAGGGAAAAGGCTTATAAGTCTCCACAAATGTTGCGATATGTTTACCGAGCAAAACAAAACTGTGCTGTAAAGTTCAACAAAAGTTCAGTGTATTAATACACAAAAGAAAGTGTAAAATAGTGGAAGTGTTAGAAATATGAAGAAATTAATTCAATGTACACCAAAAAAAAAAAAACCTGCTCTTTTGTGAATTTTGCATTTTGATTTTCAAATTTTACAGTTTGTTTTACTGTCACAAAATCTTTGTAAACACGAGTTCTCATTAAAATTCAAATATTTTTTCCAGGCAAAAAATGCTAGACCGATTTGACTGAATACTTATTGTTAACAGACAAGTAGAAGAGTTACACATAAGAAGAATACAAGTGCTTTTCATCAAAGAAAGCTAAGCTAAGACTGCAAACAATTTAATGGAAAGTCTTCATTTCAAAAGATCAAATGTTGCAACTATTTAGAAGTTTGAAGGCTCAACCTAGAAGAATAAAGACTGAAGTCTAACTAAAAGAGAGAAGAGGCAAATAAAACAACACCGTATGGCCTTTCATGGCAAATAAAGAATGGCATTTAAAACTGACATTCCATGCTTTTACTACAAGACACACACACTCACAATAAATAAATAAAAGCTTTTGAAGCAAAGACTACTAATACTGCAACAAAATTTAACAGAAAGACTCCACAAGATCAAATTCTGCGCAGCTATTTAGAAATGCTAAAATAAAATACAAAGGTTCACATTCTGGCCAGGTTGTAGAAAGTTTAAATAAGGCTGCAACCAGATTTAAGTACTTTCAGAAACAGTATTTGCTACTTTTAAGCTGTAAAACTAAAAACAAAAGTATACTTCCTCTTTACAAAAAAAAAAAAAAAAAACCAAACTCAACATGCAGCTTTCTTTACTTAACAAACATCCGTTGTTTTTTTTAAAAACTAAAGCATGAACAATGGCTTGGTAATGTTTTCAAACAGATCCTCACAAGATACAGTCATAAATTACTTTGCTGAATTTACAAAAAAAAATATAATTAATAAATAACATAGCCAATTAAAGAAATAAAACAATGTTGCTAGGATTGCATGAAGAATTCATGAGGCTCATCTTTTTCAAACTGTTTTGCTTCCTCCTGCATCGACTCCTTAATCTTTAGGATAGCTGCAGACTCGATATGCTCCTGAAAATTTTAAACAGGGAGTCTTTCAGGCTATTTAACAGAAATCTTCAATGTAAGAGACTGGTGCAAATTAAGCTATCGTTGTCTGTTGCTACAGTCTTCGATATAATGAGATAACATTTAATTTGACTGGTTACAAAGAGGAAGAAACTTGAGCAAAGGAAAAAATTAAACTGATGTACGCATGCTCTACAGTTCAAACTAAGTTTTTACATTAATTTCACAAGTAATCAAACAAATTCACTAACAAAGACAAACATTACCAAAAGGACAGGACAACTACAGATTGACAGTAAAATACTGCAGCTAAGCAGGCAGAAAGTACTGACAGACTAGGACTGAAGACAAAGTAACAAATAGTTGACAACGGAATACAGGTGAACATGCAGTCACTTCTGAATGTCAAAATAAATGGCATGGGGAAAAGGGGGGTACATCAGACTGTTGACCAGCAGGTTTAGGGAAAGAGGGAGGAAGTAGAAAGAGACATTTTATCTATAAGCAAATGTGTGGCAGTGATGAATGAGATAGTTGTATGGTGCCTGTTAAAAATGGACAGTTGGTGGAAATGTTTAGAGAGATATCTGTGAGTGTGTTATTTCAGAATTTCAATTCTTGCAACTAAACCCTCCCCCCGAAATAGCAATACATCTTAAAATAACCATCAATAATTTGTGTCTGTGAGACTGTTCTCAAAATTGATTTTTGCTCTAAACTATGGGAAAGGAAATTTTTTAGTTGTGTCTAGATTACAGAACTCAGCTAGATGACCATATCTGCTTTCCTTAATTGTCTGACTCTAAACAAAATGATCTGAACATTAAAATTATTTCCCTTATTCTTTCATCTGCCAAGCAAGTCCCTGGAGTATAATCCAGCCCACAGGCAGACTAATGATGACAAAGAATAGTCACTATAGGTGAAACTGGAATTACAATAAAAAGACCATTTTTCTGAAACAAAGACATGAACGCCCAATGACCTAACCGAATCCTATTGCAAGGGATGCTGAGATTGTATCAGCAGAAATGCAACCATTAGAGTTGAGAAATCCAACAAACAACATATGAGAATTACAGTACCAGTAAGAATGATCCTCCAGACAAAACTATCAGCAAGCGTTACTGTGGCAACAAACACAGAAGCTTACTTCTCTGTTTAAACACATAAAATAAAAATAAATAAAACAATTTTAAAAATCAAGAGACCTTGATTTGCTCTGAAAATTCAAACTGAAAAAATCCATATTAGCATGAAAATAAAACGACTTTAAAACAAACAACACTATTACTTTTTTAATTAACTATGTTAGTTAGTTAGTTTGACCTACCATCCTTATCGCACATCAGACCAGACCATTAGCATTCGGATCCCATCCTCTGTATCTCCCTTAGAGTGTGACACCAGTTCTAAGTTAGCTTATTTTTCTTCTTTGACCACATGTAAAAACTTCATGTCTGGTGACAACCTCTTTTGACGTAAAGTTCTTCTAGTCTTTCTTATGAAAGTTGGTGATTCACCATTGTCTCCTGAATCATCTACTCATCCTGCCTCTCTAGGAGCACTGAGAACATCGGCCCCTTCCACTGATCTTTCTGTGCTTCCACTGATCTTTCTGTGCTTCCACTGGTCTTCCTGTGCTTCCACTGATCTTCCTGTGCTTCCACTGATCTTCCTGTGCTTCCACTGATCTTCCTGTGCTTCCACTGATCTTCCTGTGCTTCCACTGATCTTCCTGTGCTTCCACTGATCTTCCTGTCCTTCCACTGATCTTCCTGTGCTTCCACTGATCTTCCTGAGCTTCCACTGGTCTTCCTGTGCTTCCACTGATCTTCCTGTGCTTCCACTGATCTTCCACTGATCTTCCTGAGCTTCCACTGATCTTCTTGTGCCTACTGTGGCCCTGCCAGCAAGCCAATCCACTCGTTCATTCCCTTTTACCCCCAGAGTGTCCTGGCACAAAAATGAAACTGATTCATGTCAGATGAGATTTTCTCAGACACCAAAAACTGTCTCCGAATCCATCCTGTCTCGATCTTTCTAAGCATGTTGATGGAATCAGTTAAACAGCATGCATGGGTAACTGTGTTACTTTGTGGCTTCTCTAGTTAGTCACTACCGTATATGACATTTCAATGCTGCTACAGCAATAAAGTTAAGGTTAGTTGCGTATCTTTTACAGGATGTTGCAGAACCAACCCCAGCAGCCCCTGGCTGTCGTGTGGTTTTTCTAGGCAAATTTGTTTCCAGTAGTTTGCCATTGCTTTCTGGACGGTCAGCTTTCTTGATACCACTGTCGAAACCAACGCAAGGCACATGGCCTGCAGCTGGGATCGAACCCGGCATTACGAAGCGTTCGCATCGACTTAGCCACTGAGCCAACACAGCTATAAGAAATGACAAATATAAGTGCTATAGAAGAGAGAGATTTAGTGCTACATTTGAAGGAGCAAAAACTACACAATCTGATAGGAAGGATACAAGTCACTAAGCAAGCACACTGTTTTTGCAAAGGAACAAAGGCAACTATTAATATCTAGGCGTGCCACGGCAAGACAGTGATAACCAGATATACGGTAAACAGGGAGACAAATAACATGCTCAATGAAGCAAACTTTCACCTCAAAGAATGTTCTAAACAAATCAGGGTTTTAAAAGCAACACCCACTGCAATCTACATATGTGGCCAACCACCAAATGTTTAAAGATAAATATCCTAATTGCAGCCATGCCTCCATTTCAATTGTCGTAAACAAAACAAGACAGCCTACTATGGTGATAAATGAAAATGTGCATATGATAAGACTTACAAAAAATAAAAATATGGACCATACAAAGAAAAAACTAATTAGGCTGTAAAGTAGGAATAATAAAGGATTAACAAATGCATGTGGATGCTAAATTACACTACACACTTTATTTGCAATATTTCCTAATTAGGATGCATTTTTATAAAGAATTCACAAGGGGCAGAAGCTGGTAAGAAACAGGGTTGGAAAATATATGGTTAGTGAACTAAGATGCTCTAACACAAACTCAAGAACAAAGGAATGTGATCGGATGACAGCAAAAACAAAAATAAAACAATAATAATAAAAATATAAATGACAGCTAAGCAACAAATAAATAGAGCTGACAGCATGCAGACAACACTGAGACATGCAATGAAATAACAAAAATATATAATAATTAATGTTATTACAACAGCATATCATATATTTTAAATAAAATGGGAAGTACAGAAATTAAGTGTGCCTGACAATAAAGTGTAGATGAATAAATCAATGAAGCAATAAAGCAAAATGAAAAGTATCTAACCCCCCACCCGCAAAAAAAAAAAAAAAAAATCATTTGCTAACATGAAAGATATGGAACAGGTCAAGCAAAAATATCTTTAAAATTGTCTGTAACATTTTTCCTTAATATGGTTAAACTCAGGGGATTTATTTATACCTATGCAGTATGAATAAACAAGAAGTCTTATTCATTATTTCATATTAAAAAAAAAAAACCGGTTTTCCCTACCGATAACTATTTCTGTTTCAGTTATGTTCCAGGCACTCCTTAAAAATACCCACCTAAAAGATAAACTTATTTCATCTTAACATTTGACACAGAAATCCTAGAACCTAATTTATTATCAAATTCCTACTTTACTTATATATACACCAATGATACAATTTTCAAACAGGACAACACAAATGAATTACTTCAGTCTGCCTTGTTCATAAAAATAAAAATCGCTTTAATATTCTTATCCCAAGGGGGGAAAAACACCAAATAAATTAATCATTTGCAACCATATTAAACACATCCATTTGCACAGAATCAGGAAGATTAATTACATCTTATTAGACATCAGTAACAACAAATGATGTTTGTTTTGTCCCACACAAGTGAGATACATTTTTATACACTTTGTACAACAGGCTAGAATTACCCTTAGCATAATCAATTGAGCAAGTTTACATTAGAGCTGTTTTCTTTCACCTGACATGTTAAAGGACATATACAGCACTGAGATGGTTTATTCTGTACAGGTTTCAAGAAAATGTCACTTAAATGTGTCATACCAAGTTAAATAGTACTCTTACTATTAAATCTACCAGTATATTTGAAGTCCTCATTACATCTTCCATTTCCTTTCTAAATTGATTATAAATAAATCACCTGGACAGGTTTATTAATTTATTTACAGAAATAAATCAGCTGTATTTTTCTAAAGTAATATTATTTGAACTGCAAGACAAGTGACTGTTAGCTTCCATGTTTTGTTTTTCAAAAGACACAAGGCAAAATGCTTGACAACAAAAGGAAACTAATACCGTTATTATCTTACAGTAGGATACTGCTTCTAAACTCAAAATTATTTTTATTAATCAATATTCTCCGCATTTTAAACTTTGAAATATGAATAGTTAGAGTACACACAGACTACTGTAGCACTCCTTTCTTCACCATTGGACCACCAATGAAACATTTTTGATTTTTTTCTTCTTTCCATGTTAAAAAAAAAATTATCTTCATTTGTTAAAAAACTGCAAGCTCCAACTTGTTAAAAAAATTTATTATTATTTCCTTCATTACGTCGCACTTCAATCAATGATTCCATCTATCCTTTGTAACAATACATTTAATCAACAATAAAAAACCCTACTATTCGGTTCTGATAACTTTAAAAAAAATTTCAGTTAGAATTCTATCTAACCTGATCTGATACTTTATTAAAAAAAAAATTTAGTTCAGACTATACCCAAAAAATTAATAAACAATAGCACATTTTAATTCATAACGGCAGCTACATTTGCACCTTTGGGAGCTGCGTAATTAAACCTGACTACCTTAAATAATATAAGTTTGAACTAAACTTAACAAGGACTAAAATGATATAAAACACTAAACATACAATACTACACTGTGTATAGATCACAACATGGCCGCTCTAATGTGAACAAATATTCAATGTCAGTAGTGATCCTCATGTTACAGAATTGAAACTGAATTAATAAATTCATCCAGCGCTTTAAAAAAAAAAGATATATTGAATGACAATGATATTAAGCATTTTTGTGGTAACTGAGTAATTTATTTCATGGATAACAGTCATGAATAGCATATATGGCATTTTCAATGAGATATTTTATAACTGTACAGACAAATGTAAAAAAAAAGACTATTTTTAGCAAGCACTTTGATACTACTCAAAAAAACTATTTAAACAATTATTTCAAATGCTGCTGATAGGGGAAAAAAAAGTTAAAGAAAACACTGCAGTATCGCATAATTAAAACAAAGCGGCGGAATATTTTTAATTCTCTGGTGAAGAAGGAAAGTCCCTTTTGTAGTCGAGCAAACTATTTTATTCAGAAATCATTTGTTATTAAACCTGGCACATTCAGAAAGCAGGCATCTGGTTTAGTTGAAAGTTTCTTCACTAAACACTGCTATCCTATTGTACACAAATGAACTGTGTCGACTGTTACCTGCTAAATCACACTGCTTCTTAATTTGGGGCGCACAGGTCTCATTGGCCCATTCCATCTTTAAAAAAAAATTAAAAAATTTAATGAGAACTGAAGAAGACTGTAAGGGATGTTACTGTAGCTCTGTAGACAACTCAGAAGAAAAAAATTTGATTTATAACTACTAGAACAATACAACTGGCACACAGCAAAATTTAAAACAATCGTCTCATGTAAGTTCCTTTACAATCCTAAGTATAAATAGATTGAAAGTCAATAAAACCGATATGGTCTTCTAGCTGTAAAAATGAAAACAAAGGAGAACACAACTACCCCTTCCGAACATGGTGGCAATGCCTAATAACCTTGATTTACTAACACTCCGAGTCAGAATTATTCACATACTTAAATTAAAATTAAATAATAACACTCAATGTCTGTGCTATCAAATATTATCTGCAGCTATGTAAAAAAAAAAAAACAGGGCTGAGGTAATCCTATCAGTAGAATAAACTGCCACAACGCTGGGTTATTGTAAAGTGACATGGTGAAAATGTAGGGGTGGGGATGAAGTGAGAATTCGGTATGTGGGCAGGCAAATGGACAGCAGAACAGTCTCACATAAAAAGACCCAGACTCACACTGTCCTGATATCCTCCAAGCCCATATGGGCCCATGTCCCCCCCACCAACACCGCTGACGGGTGGCATGTCTTCCCGCGGGGTGCCACGGCCATTCGCTGGGGAATTCTTCATACCATCCATGTCTCCTGCAAAGAACAAACAAGTGATTAATACAACGGTGCACAAATAGACTTTTTCTTTTTTTTTTAAGTTTCTCCTGCTTACTTTTTTCCCATTCAGAATTCTTAAAACTGTAGTTTTTTAAAATTAAAATGTTTTGTTTTAAACTGAAGAATTTATAATAAAAAATATTTCATACCAAAAATTTTTCTAATAGTTGTTAATGTGTGTGTGTTCCAAAGCTCTATTTGTTCTAAAGCTCTATTTGTCACCCAGTGCCCGACTTTTGAAAGAAAGAACCAACATGGAGCTTTTTTTTAGGAAACCAGAGAGAGGGGGGAGAGAGAGAGAGAGAAATAGAAGAGGCAGGATGTGGCCAGAGAAAGGGAGGGGAGAAAGGAAAGGGGAGAGAGAGAAAGGAAGGGGAGAGAGAGAAAGGAAGGGGAGAGAGAGAAAGGAAGGGGAGAGAGAGAAAGGAAGGGAAGGAGATAGAGAAAGACAGAGAACAATGAGGGGGGGGGGGGGGGGGCAGAGAGAGATCATCATCATCATGTAGCAGATCCTTTGCAGAACGTCGCTCTCATCACAGTCTGCCTGAAAGAAACTCGGTCTCTCGCCAGTTCTCCCGCCTCATGTACTTTCATACTCAAGGAGTTACTTATATCCTGTGCCCATCTTTGTGTCGGTCGGCCCCTGCCCCTCCTTCCTGGTACCTTCTGCTATAATTTTTTCCAATCCGTCGTGGCGCTTGATATGACCAAAATATTTCAGCTTCCGAGAAAGGATGCTGTTTATTAGCCAATCTTCCTTGATGTTCAGATCTTTTAAGATGTCAATATTTCTCATCTTCTTTGTCAAAGATATTCTGAGCATCTTTCTATAGCATTTTAAAAAGCCCCTATTCTCTTTCTTAAGGACTGAGAGATAGTCCACGACTCATATCCGTATGTAGCCACAGGGAAGACGCATGCTTTCAAAATTCTAATTTTTATCTCTTTGCTGGTGCTTAACCATAGACTTTTAAGGCTGTTCCATCTTTGCATTGCTGAGGCCATCCCTCTTTTCATTTCTGTCGAATAGTCTCCATTGCTGTTTATTATAGAGCCTGAATATTTCTCTGAAAGTACTGGAGAGTTTTGGGAAATGCCATTCTGGTCTCAAGACTCAGTGAAGGGAAAACCCCAACTGCACCTCCACATGGTAGAGGAAGGTAAACACACTGTGGCGTGGCCAACGCAGCTATGGGGACCAAGTATCCGCCGGGATAAGTGGACACCTCTGGGGTGCCCGCTGCTGTTAGCAAAAGCATCACAGAGCCGGGCACTCACTTGCCCTAGCAATCGAAAAGGTTGCTGAAGGCTGTGGACGTGGAAAGCCATGTGGATGTGGAAAGCAACGGGAAACTACCACATTACTATCCCAAGAAACATCATGGAGAGAGAGAGAGCATACTAAAAACAGCAAATAGTCTGAACAGCTTTGTCTGACTGAAAGTGCCAATAAAAAGATCACACTTTCAAATAAAAGCATTTTTATGTTTTTGATTGTTAAAATTAAATGTCTTTTTACTCTGGGATCCCCCTTTTGAATACTTCAATACTTGAAGCATCTGCATTTAACTTCAGTTTCTTTGAAATATGTGTATTTCAAAAAAAGAATTTACCCAAAAATTCCTTTTGCCAGTCTGTTTAGACATGATTTCTTCTGCATATGTTACTTCTTATAACTTCCTTGTCTGTTTTCTCAATACTCTGGCTCAAAAGTTAAGGTGGCTGGATCAAATCCAGGGAGTGGAGGACGGTCCCTAAGGACATTCTCTACAGTGAATTACAAATAGGTAGAAGTTGTCGTGGCTGGTCTCTACTATGAAATAAAGATGTGTGCAAGTGGGACATGAATGTTACAGGTTAGGAGATTTGGGAGCCGTGTTAGCGCAGTTGATAGGAATCTCGCTTTCAAATCCAGCTGCGACTCACTGCAGCCCACGGCCGGTGTTCGAAACAGAGGAACGTCGCTGTAGCTACGGAGTTGCGTGCGGAGAGTTTCTTATCAGCTGTACGTACTGGTGGCAGAGCAGTTATAGTTTATAAACGTTTGCAATGACGCTGGTTCACATCTCCCGACTTGACCTTTACCTTTTTAGATTCGTGGGAACTAAGTACCATGGCCCATATTGCGTAGAGAGGACAAATCAGAAGGGGAATGAGAATAAAGGAAGATATAACTGCAGAAAGGATTACAGCTGAGTATCTGAGAAGAAACACACTAAATACATAGGATGGCAACACCAGTCCTGAAATCCCATGTTCTAATTGTGGAAGACTTTTCCTAATGCCTGCAGGTCTTGCTAGTCCCATTTGCCATCATCTAGGGCTGTCAGTCCCAACCTCCTCCTCACAGCCCAATATAACACTATTGTCTGATGACGTTGGGTCATTTCCATTGAATTTTTATAGAAAACCAGCTTCAGAAACTTGACCACTAGTTACATTGGGACAGATGATATTCACTTGAGGATTGCTCTTCTATAGGAGACATACATTATTTACCTGTAAATTAGTACACATTAAACAATTTTATGATCAGCAGTACTAGGGTTAAATTTCTGTTGCAAGCAGCCTGTTTAAGACAAAATTAAAAAAAACCATCATGGTTTTAGGACAGTGGTGCGAGAGCTACACCATGGAAGAGACTGAGACCCCACCACATAATAGATCCAATGACAGAAGTGGATCTACTGCAGTCAAACTTCACTGTGGAGACAGCGCGCAATTCAGTTTTCAAATTGTCATCGCTCCAGCTCCATACATTTAAAACACTGCCAATATAATATAGGTACTCTAACAACAACCAGCTCCATACATTTAAAACACTGCCAATATAATATAGGTACTCTAACAACAATTCTGCTTCAAAGTTTCATCTTCATTGCAGGAATCAATAATTTGAAAAGAGAATGCAGGATATTTTCAGAAGAAAAAAAAACTATTAAAAGCCTAGACCACATCTTTCAAGGGAGAGCTTACCTACCATCTGCAAAACAAACAAGAATCAGCAGAGTTCAGCCACTTTATGAATTACTGCACAGGTAATGACAATTAAATCAAGACCTCATTGATATTTATGTCAATAAATTTAAAGAGTTTCATTTTCATTTTAATCCTTGGATACCTTCTTCTTTGTGTTCACTGGCTGTAATCTCCGATGAAAAATTATGTTCTTTGTGTGCGTGTGTGTGTACCTCTCTCTCTCTCTCTCTACCTCTGGAAGTCTTGCTTCAGAACCTGAGTGTTGCGTGCAGATCCATTTTCTAGATCTGACTTATTTATTATGTAATTGGTTCTTTGCTTCTCAGGTAGATGCGCTGTGATTTTGAAGGAAGCCCCCAGTTAGTCAATTCTTACAAAATTATTGCTGGGGAGGCAGTGGGTCTATTCTTGTTTTTCCCACAATTGAGCCCCGGAACACACATGGGGAAAATCCTTGGTTATAATATGGGCAATTAAGAAGAACACATAGAAATGACACAGAACTTCATTCTTACATTAATAATATGAGCTGCAGTAGATGGTACTAACTTTCCTCTGTTAAAATTTAATGGTAAAGGTAAAGTCAGGAGATGTGAACCAGCGTCACTGCACACGTTTATAAATCATAAGTGCTTTGCCACCAGTACTGATAGCTGACAAGAAACTGTCTGTCGGTGTCACTGTCTGCATGCAACTCCGTAGCTACAGCGACACTCCGCCATTTACCCCAGAGTGTTAACTCTGGAACCCATTATCTAGAGGCTGGGTAAAATCCAGGGAACCACCTGGTTTCGAACACCGGCCGTGGGCTGCAGCGAGTCGCAGCTGGATTTGATGGTTGGCGGCGTATACCAAACCTGACATCCCAGTTATGCCAGAACCTTCAGGCAGAGGAGCTCACTGAGGAGCATGCTAACCTTATCCTAGGATGAGGAACTGCAACATGAAAACTTAATGTTGACTGGCAGCTGGTCTAGAAAGGGGGCTCCGACTGGCTGACTCAGCATTGTTCTTCTTGCTCAGGAGCTTCTGCAGCACGCTGTGTTTAAAAAAAATTAACCATACTGGCATAACCTCCTTTGGAGGGATCCTGTTACACAGACATTGCATTGTCTCTACAATACTGCCCAGGCTTTGTGCTATGGAGAGGAAGAACTTCATCTTTGACCCGTGATTCCTATGTCTCCCTAGCAGTGTTGACACTTTGGATGTTTTACATCCAGATTTAGATGATTTTCCTTGCATTTAGATGGCATTTTTGATGTTTAGATGGTAGATGTTTTTCTATATGTTTTTCATTTGCAGTGAATTTATCAAATCTAACCTAAGAAACAGGATGAAATTAGACCTTTTAAATGCTATCTTGACAATACAATTTGGCCTGATAAGAGTAGGAAAAGCTGTTCCACTTATCAGCTACCTGATTGGGTATAAAAGGAAATTGGAACAGCTAAAGTATAAAGTATACCAGAGTCATTTTGGATCTGAAGCTTCATTTTCATCATCCAAGCTAAGGTTATCCTGTGGATCTTGTAAGGCAGACTTCAGTAAAGATGAGGACATGATTCCATAGGGTAAGTTATATCAATTGCTATGTAATTTGTGACTCTTTCCATTTGGATGTTTTTTTCTAGATGTTTTCCACGCACAAATAGATGTTTTTAGATATTTTTGACTCCATTTTGGATGTTTTTTGTCAAAGAAAAGTGGCAACACTGCTCCCTAGGCACAACAGAACTGTAGTACCTACTACTACTGTCACTGGTTTATTACCCATGAGCCACCACAGCTCCCTACAGCACAATGGAAAATTATCGTCTGGAAAGACATTAAGGTGCTCCAACAACAGTCATAACTAGCAAGCCACCATGTTCTACTACTCCTCTACATCTTATGATTTAAAAGTAAAAGAAAACAGTAATTGGAAACAAAAACAATTTTTAAAAAAAAAAGAGACGAAGAAATTTAACCAAAGAGGGAATTCTCACCATTCATAACTGGCATGTCACCTGGACCCATTGGTCCCATGGGTCCGTCTGGTCCGCCCATTGGAAACTGCACAAAAAAATATCAATGTTGAACATAATGAATGATTAACACTAATAGGAAATGGTGGTTAGATATTAAGGACGATAAAGCACAGAAAATTTGAAATATTTTGGTCACTTGAAATGTCATGAAAGTTTAGAGAACAATAATGCAGGGGTATGTGCCTGGAGAGAGAGGAAGAGGAAGGCCAAAGAGAAGATGGGTGCAGGGTGTGGCGGATGATCTTCAGGTGGGTGTATTGGACTCAGGACATCTTGCTTGTGATCAAACAGTTTTTCCGGAAGGCTGTTATGGGAGCAAGGTTCTGCAAAGGACATACGACTGATTGACTAACTGGTTAGTGCACTTGTTTTCTGAAACTGACTCACAGAGTATGATGAGAAAGGTATGCTCCGGGCAGAATGGCAAGCGTTGCTTCAGAGGTCCAGGGTAGTTAGCATCCTTTGGATATTTTCTCCAGGTAATGATGGTGTGTTAGGAAATGAGCAGGAAGGTAGACTGGCCGGAAGGTACACAGGAATGTAGACAAACTCCAGAACACATTATGCAAAACTGTCCTCTCCTGAAGGAGCTATGAAGCAGCATATGGCAACTCTCAGTAGACCTGTAAACTAAGCTTTGAGGGAATCCTAAAAGACCTTGAGTTACATCCCATTTTATACCGACAGTAGATTAAGTGCAAAACCAGATATTGCTGAAGAAAAGATTTTCTGAAATCTGTTATTCGTATCCGAATAGTGGCTCTTTAAGTCACTGGGTGTGAATCTCAGGCTTGCAGCCACAGAGGTGAAAAATAAGAAGGGAAAAAATACTTAAGAACAATATGAAGCATAATTAGATACTCTTTCTTGAAACAAATGTTCTAAAAATATACTTATATAATTAGATAATGTTTCTTGATACAAATGTTCTAAAAATATACTTATATAATTAGATAATGTTTCTTGATACAAATGTTCTAAAAATATACTTATATAATTAGATAGTCTTTCTTGAAACAAATGTTCTAAAAATATACTTATATAATTAGATAATGTTTCTTGATACAATTGTTCTAACAATATACTTATTTAATTAGATAATGTTTCTTGATACAAATGTTCTAACAATATACTTATTTAATTAGATAATGCTTCTTGATACAAATGTTCTAAAAGTATACTTTGCCAGTAGTGACCCGAAAGCTGCAACTTACCCCTGGCATCCCACCCATTCCTGGAGGTCCCTGTTTCATCATGTACATGGGATCTCCTGTACCACCCGAATCTGCAGACAATACAAAGAATTATAAAGAAACCAACAAAACAAAATAAATGTGTACACACGTTTATATGCATTAATGATTCAACTGTGACATGACCTGATACTGCAGATGTCAGGTGGACAGTAGCTTGGACAGCAACATTTCAGCAGCAGCAGCAGAATGTAAGTAAGTAAGTAGAGGACCATTTTCCATGCCTTTGGGCACACTGGGCATATAGAACTACATCTATATTGTATAGACCAATCAGCACTCAATAGGTGATGTGGTCAGCATCACGCCAGCCACCATTGTTGCATGCTTTAAGGACATGATTGTTAAGAGGCAGTTGTTTTCTTTATGTAGGTTCCACAGCCCACATTTAACAGATCCACTACCTGTTAGGACATGATTGTTAAGAGGCAGTTATTTTCTTTATGTAGGTTCCACAGCCCACATTCAACAGATCCACTACCTGTTAGGACATGATTGTTAAGAGGCAGTTATTTTCTTTATGTAGGTTCCACAGCCCACATTTAACAGATCCACTGCCTGTTAGGACATGATTGTTAAGAGGCAGTTATTTTCTTTATGTAGGTTCTACAGCCCCCATTTAACAGATCCACTGCCTGTTAGGACATGCTTAAGAGGCAGTTATTTTCTTTATGTAGGTTCCACAGCCCCATTTAACAGATCCGGTGATGTGGTCAGCATCTCGCTGGCCACCTTTACTTCCCAGGACTGTACCTGGTACCCACTCAAGGCTGGGTTGACCTGGGGGGGGGGGGGGGGGCAAGGTCATTTTTGAAAAAAAAAATCCGGCCTTATCAAGAACCGAACCCACGACCTTTCAATCTACAGGCGAGTCTAGCCGCGAGATCACGGCAGCTCCCGATGAACTAAAAGAAAAACATAATAAAAAAACCCCAAAATCAATGTATCTGCTCATTTCTTGTCATACAGTATCTCAGTTTAATTACCTAGATTAATTACAATTAATATGGCTTAATGTGGTTAGAAATGTGGGTGCGATTCAAACACATTCCAGTGCCTGTGCTGTTAATAATGTTTACTACAACGTACCGCGATCGAAACCCACTGCGGGCTGCGTGGATTTTTATCATGGTATGGGTACCAGGATGGGCTGTCCTGGGAAAGTAAAGACAGCCAGCGTAATGCTGACCACATTACCCACCGAGTGCTGATGGTCTGTAAAAATATGGGCGCTCTTCCCATATGCTCGATACGCCTTAAGGCGTGAAAGGGATCTTTACTATTACTACTACTTATTAACAGATGTATGAATGAAATAACATATGAAAGGAGAAAGATTAGAAGGGCAGACCATCAGACAGGCCTGGGTGCCTAATTCTTTAACCCTTTGAAAATAAAGTTAGTTCGTTCGTACATTTGAAGCAATAATGTATGAAGCAGAATAAGCTACAAATAATTAGATATGATTCTACACACATTATAATTAGTAATAATTCACCCACTTTATACCAAGCAAATCATTACATGATAAAAGTAATTTAAAAAAAAAAAAAGCACTCTCTATCCAATGAAAACACATTAGCTTTCTTTTGAGATTTTGTGACATTAGTTAAAGTTAAGGACCTTTTTCAACGCCTTCAGGCGTACTGGGGATATAATGCTAGGCTGATATTTTATAGACCAATCGGCACTTGGTGAGTGATGTGGTCAACATCATAGTGGCCACCTTTACTTCCCAGGTTTTTAATGTGATATTAGGAGCAACCAATAAACACATAACAAACAGGGGGGGGGGGGGGGGGGAGAAAAAGAGAGGGGGGAAAGGGTGTGTGTGTGAAACACCAAATATACTACACTTTAAAAACCTGCGGCTACTTTTACTTTATGATATTACTACTTCTCCTGCACAATTTATTGCTACTTCACACTACTAACTCTCACTGATAGTTTATCACTGTTTGACAATGCAATTCCGTAGAACAGTGTTTTTATTAAATGACAGTACCAATCCTGGTGGACTGTATTATTATTACTACTACTACTACTGTCGGCTCTGTGGCTAAGTCGATGCAAACGCTTCGTAATGCCAGAGTGCCGGGTTCGATCCCAGCTGCAGGCCATGTGCATTGCGTTGGTTTCGACAGTGGTATCAGGGGGCCGACAGTCCAGAAAACAATGGCAAACTACTGAACGTAAATTTGCCTAGGGAAACTACACCACAGCCAGGGGCTGCTTGGATTGGTTCTGCAACGTCCTGTAAAGGATACACAACTAACCGACTACTACTACTTGACAGTACCAATCCTCACAGACTGTATTACTATATGACAATACTAATTCTGATATACAGTTTTACTATTATTACCTATCACTAAGGGGACAAGACATTTCATTAATCAACACAGAACAGGCGTCATCAGTCATTTTACACTTGTGGAGCTTTTGAGGAGGAGATGAGAGCACCTATGGATCTGTCTGGAGTGCTGTGATGATAATCCTTTCTAATCACTAATCTTCTTCTTCTTCTTCTTCTCTTCCACCTTGTACGTCATCAAAGTCTCAGGGAAGATGTAATGTTCGTTGATGAGCTCTGTCAAATGCACTATTAAGACTGATGTTCATTTCTGTAAGGCTGTTCTTAATGCCATCACTCCATGTTTTCTGAGGTCTTCCACTCGCTCTATACCCGTTGTAACATTTTAGTGTGGCTCGCTGTGGCAGGTAGTATCAGGACATTCTTGTTAGGTGTCCAAACCACTTCATTTGTTGTTCTTTGATGACCTGTAAGACTGGCTTTATTCCTAGCATTCCTCTGATTTCATGATTTGGTATTCTGTCTTTCCTTGAAACTTCTGCAGCTCTTTTAAGGCATTTCATCTCTGTTGTCACAATTTTATGTTCATTGGAGGATGTAAGTGTCCATGTTTGGCATTGATAGCATAGTTCACTAATCACCTGGACAAATCCTCAACCATTGTATTATTACCTAGTAGTACCAATCCTCAACGAATGTATTACTATCATTGCCTTGCAGTACCAATCCGCATGGTCTGAATTATTATCATTTTACATTACTGATCCTCCTGGATTGTATTATCACCCGAGAGTACCAATCCTCATGAACTTTATTATCATAGTACTGATCCTATTGCATTGATAGCATAGTTCACTAATCACCTGGACCAATCCTCAACCATTTTATTATTACCTGGTGGTACCAATCCTAATCGAATGTATTACTATCATTGCCTGGCAGTACCAATCCGCATGGTCTGAATTATTATCATTTTACATTACTGATCCTCCTGGATTGTATTATCACCCGAGAGTACCAATCCTCATGAACTTTATTATCATAGTACTGATCCTCGAGGATTATACATACGATTAGTACTTGACAGTTCCAATCATCATTGATATTGCTTGACAATACCAGTTACCAGTACTTAACTACCTCAAATCTCATCAAAAGTTAACAATTTCTTGATTACGTTATTTTTTAACTGCCCCAATTATTTTTCTGCAATACCGTGTTAACTTATATTCAAATGATAAAGGGATAGGGATTAATTAACTGTGTAAAAATTTCAAAAAGCACATAGTGAGTGCAATAGATTTCTGTTCAACATGTAATAATGCCCACATCTACAACATTCATCCTTTTGTAAAAACTACCAAGTTACAACAAACACAAACAGAACCAATTATTTTGTAGGTAGAACAAACAAAATTCAAAAAATTAAAGTACACATGGCGATACATACACATTAAAAAAAAATTCCTTTGTGTGCATGTGTTCCATTGAATCTTGTTTCACAGATATCAATGTTGTTACTATATAATATTAAATGTTTCCAGCAATCTGCACTGTCTTTTCAATTCATATAAAGTTTTGATATTTCAGCCATAAATTCTGAAGAATTTCTTAGAGGAAAGATGACAGGCCTGTGATCCCGAACTCTCTCAGCTTTCTCTGCCTTGTTTCATATTTCAGTGTGAAATAAAGCCTCCTGTTATTTTGGTTGGCTGAGTAATTGTTCTCCCCTCTTCTTTTGATTTTTTTCCCATGGTTAGTCGAGCTGTGTAGCTCATGTCAGTTCTCCATCATCATCATCATTCAGCATATCCTTTACAGTATACTGCTCTCATCAACGCAAGCTGTCTCTTTTTCTAGCCAAAAATCCAGCCCTATGTGCTTTCATAGCCAATGCATCTTTAGTGTCTTGTACCTGCTCTCCATGAAAGTCTCTGTCTTTTTTTCTAGAAATGTTACCCTCCAGGCAACCCTGATGTTTAACAAGGCCAAGATGTCAATCCTCCATAACTGCCTTTTATGACAGGCATGGTAAGTTAAAGTGTTAATACTTGTTTTCTTCCCTTATAGGGCCAGTCACATACAAGTTAATTTCAAATTAAAAATGAAATCAAGAAGATGTTTTAGGGATGCCTTCTTCTTTTTCTTTTTGTGTGGTCACCCTTAAAAAGACAGCTGGTATGTTGTGTTGTTTATTCAATGAGTCATTGTCCTCTTGTGCCATTATATGTCACTCAGGGCTTGCAGCCTAATGTCTTCATTCCATTTTATTATGTGCAAGCACTCTGATATCATGGATGGAACTTTGGCTTCTCTCATCAACATTCACAACAAGATTTCAATTGGATGTCTTCATTTCCTCAACCCCTTTTTTCCCATTTCACTGCCTGTTTAGTCTTTCTCTGTTAATCTTTTACCAGAATGTTTGATTGATTTGATTCAAGAACCGACATCACAGCACTCAGGGCATTCCCATAAGCGCTCCGTCCCCATCTTCAGCAGCCAGCGAAGAGTTCCGATACTAATGGTGCCAGTAGCATACTGATTAAATATCTGTCTTGTCCTTCCTCTTCCTCTTTGTCAAATACACTTTCTTCTCTTGTTTTCTAGCTGAGATACTAGTGGCTGCCCAGATATTTACCAATAGGCTGCGACATATGTGCCTTTCGGCATAACACATCTGATTTCAAAGAAACCCTTAATGTGTTGCATCCTACGACATGCTTTTTAAGGTGCAGGGTCTTTTCTTCCTCAAAATGGAGTCACGAGTCCACACTGGTGGACTGATATATGCAAATGTTGTTGCTATAAATAAAGAAAATGACACAATGAGCTGCTGGTAAATTAAAAAACAGTAAGCAAACTACTTGTCAGTTTACTATTATCTATAGCTACCGTGAATAATTGGGCTGTAGGAGGTCGGTGTGCGCCGCATCTCACCTTGGGGACTAGGCATTATAGGAGTGCCTGGAGGCCCTCCCGATTGTGGGGGGCCCTGGGGCACATAATCCTGTAAAAATAAAACAAAGTGATAAGTCAAATCAATTATTTAAATGTTTTGCTATGTTATTCTTTTGTGGGGGGTCTGACAGTTTGAAGATGGCTGCCCCACTTTTGACATGTACCAAAAGAGGATTCTGTTATCTGGTTGTGAACAGTCTTGTCACAGAATTCACGCTGGGGTAAACCTTTCTACTTCCCTCATACCCTTTCTGGACTGACCTTCCTACTTCCCTCATACCCTTTCTGGACTGAAAGGCATGTATCACCAGAGAGGACCTTCATTTGCTAATGAAGTTCTATAGGTTTCACCCCTTCATTGATTTAAAAGACCATATCCTGATTTTTATCAAGAAATTCTATTTGGAACAACTTACTCCGCTGAAATATCAAATGTTGAATTAAGAATCAACATCACAGCACTCGGGACAATCCCATAAGTGCTCAGTCCCCATCTTTAGCAGCAAGCAAAGAGTTCCAATTCTGATGGTACCAGTAACCGTCTGATTGTATATCCATCTCATCCTTTCCCTGAGTGTTGGGCGTCAGCCAGATCCCCTGGTAACTCCTCACAATGCCGTTCTCCTTAGACTGTAATGATATGTCAGCGCCTCCGCACTGTTCACTTGCTCCCAAAGGGCCCTCACAATATCTAACTTGTCATACATCAATTCACCAACAAGTGGTGCAGAGCCAGCCAGTCTATCTGCCTGCTCATTTCCCAACACACCGACATAACTGGAGAAAATATCCAAAGGATGCTAAATACTTGGGACCTCTGAAATGATGCTTGCCACTCTGCACAAAGCATGCCTGTTTTCACCTTTCTCAACATGCTCTGTGTGTCAGTTACAATCACAGCATGTGTGAATGAACAAATAGAGAATATATGTTTGCCTCCTGAAAACATCCAAATTATGGATACGGATTACAATGTGCTGTTTATTTCTAGATCAATCAAACTTATAAAACAATCAATCCCTTTGTGAGTTTACTTCCATCCAAACACCATGTTAATGATGCTCTCATAGGAGTCATGGTAGCGTAGCCCCTAGACCAGGCGGCCTAAATGCAGAGAGTTTAAATCCACACTGAGCTGTCAGGTGGACCCAGCTTGAAATGAGTACCAGGAAATGTCCTGGGAAAAATAGGCAGCTGGTGTGATGTTGACCATACATATTACCCCCCAAGTGCTGATAGCTTACAAAACTATGAGCGTACCATATATGCCCAATGCTCCACAGGGGTGAAAAAAGATTTATCACTTTACTTTATGACAGTCTCATCAGTATTTTAGACAATATTGCCTCTGCAGTGCCCACATAATTTCCTACTAATCTGTTAATATCAAGACAACATAACTGTAGTGGCTAACAAAACGACTATTTTTTTTTCCCCAGACAATACCACATAAATTGTTATCGCCATAAAACTTCTTACAGCGGTTTCAACAGTTGCAAACAGAAACAATTTTTTCCAATAATTTATTATGTGCCTGACAGGCAACTTCAGAGTGACCTCTCAGAAGCTTAGGGAAGATCACCCCCACACCCAAAAGCAGAAATATGGCCCTTATTGCTCTCTAGAAATATGGCTGTGGTACTCAGGGGAGGCAATCTGACCTAAAGAAGAATGTTTAGGTAAAATTCCCCCCCCCCCCCCCTCATTTATAAATAATAGTCACAGTATATTGCGTAGGAGTTGTGAACAAGCTTCTTAATCCTGAGGTGCTGTCAGATTCTAGCTGTAGGCAATTTGACAGCAGAATATATTTAACTCTTAAGAAAAGAAAAAAAAAGGGGGGTGGGGGGGAGGAAGTGTCCATGGGTCTTACCTAACTGGAAACCACTGCCAACTCCTTAATCCCCAAAGGTCAGCAGAATACACCAGGGCAGTACTTGCTGCAGCCATAAGGTTTTCTTCTGTCTTCGCTCTTAAAAGGGTGGTTGTGTTGTGGTTTACAGCCAGGCTGTGTTATGTGCGTCTTTCTGTCCAACTCATCTGATTAGCAAACCCTTAACCAGCTGCTCTTTTAGGACACTCATTTTAGGACACCCATTTTAGGACACCCATTTTAGGACACTCATTTTAGGACACCCATTTTAGGACACCCATTTTAGGACACCCCCAATAAATAAAACCTGGTAACCCACACAGGGAGGGTTCCTTTATTGTATCTTATGAGGTTGAACACAGTATCTGGGTTTTGTCCTAGTGGAGTGACGTTCAGCTTACTTTGGTCTCAACTCTCAAACCTTCAGAATGGAAGAAGAGTTAAAGGAAAAATGGTGCGTGGATACGCAAATGGCATGACATGGGTCTTTCAGATTACAGTATTCACACTGCAGCCCCATTCAAGGTGTAAGCTGAATCAATTAACAGCAGTGTACTGATACAAGGATTAGTCTGTACTTACATTATAATTCGCTGGTGATGCACAATTCATCTGTAACAGAAACAAAAAACATGAAGGTCTTATCATATAACATTAATTATGTGAGTCTGTTGTGTTGTGCTGAACTCACTTTGCTGATCAATTGTCCAGAGGTCAGAGGCATGATCACCTGTGCTAGTCATAAAGGCGCTAGATGATGATGACAGAGATGAGTGCAAAAGGTCCACGCTGCTTGACGCATGAGACAAAGGTTTCTTAAGATTAACAGTTAACAGTGTTGTCCACAGGGATTGTGAGACCCAAAACCTACTCATAAACATACTCATTTCTTTTAACCCCTCTGTGCATGGATTTATTGGTTTCCCCTGGTGCTTATGTTCTTTTGATTAGCCTAAATATTTTTCAATTGTTAATTATTTAAAAATGTTACTTTACTGTTTAATATCTTCGCAAAACTTATCTTCTGGAACAAGACTCAAGTCCAGAAGTGAACAACCAGGACATTCTGCCAGTGTTTACATTCTGCCGGAGAACACTTAAAAAAAGAATATCTTTAAAAAAAATTAAATATTAACCTGTTATTAACCAAAATTACCTATTAACAAATCAATTGCTCTGTAAACTAAATCCAACTGCATATATCAACTGAAATCAGGCAGGGGTGGGCAACTTTTTTTTTTGGTCACAGGCCAAATTAGAATTACCAACCTGGGCATGGGTCATATAGAAAAAAAATTCATTATGAACAAAACATCCAGATTTCCTCTCTATATATATATATATACTTATGTGGGATACTATACTCTTTTGATAAATAAACTTACTGACAAGAGAAAAAGAACAGTATTCACCTTATATTTTATTATCATTATGGCTTCACAAACTGAGTGGAGATTCTGCTAGTGTGTCAAGATCAACAGAGAAGGGGCAAAAAACTACTTTGACAGGATGTCATTTGCTAGACTCCACACGTGTAACTCAAGGGAATTGTGCCTTCTGAATTATTTACCAAACAATGAAGTTGGCAGAAGGTGTGACAATTAAAACTGACACATCTGTGTTGTGTAAAACACAGTAACAACAACCTTTGGTAAATCTCAGACTTCCATGGTAAGTATTGCTTAACTGTGAACTTCCAATGGTGGCCTGAATAGTGTAAAAACAGACAATGAGATTTATGTAATTCGTTTGAAAGGATTTCTGTTCTGTGCTTTATTAAAAAAGTGTGCCTGGAAATAAACTGAGCAATTTATGTTTGTGTCTGCATTATTTAAAGTCACTACAGGAAAACACTGTTTCTTATTAAATATTCATGCGTGGATTAATGTTTGTATCTGATATCATGTAAATATTAATATTTATACTTACATTATAACTTGCTGGAGACCCACAATTCATCTGTAGAATAAAAAATAAAAAAATACGTAATCTGCGGAAAGAATTAAAAAAGAACAATAATGGCTAATGTGAAAGGATATTTTAGCTTTCATCTTTCTTACAAAGGATTATGCCTTTGCTATCTCAAATCTCCATGATGCCACTTGCGCCAAGAATGAAAGAAAGTAGACCAGACCTATTATCACCAACCTAAGCTTAACTATTTTAGTATTAAAGAACACACTATACTTTCAGCGGTTACACTATATATGGTAACCATTTTCCCTGTGTGGGTTCCAGGGCCTTATTGTGGGGAAAATAAGAACAGACCAACTGCCTTCCCAACAAGCATGTCGTAAGTGTCAACTAATTGGGAACTTCCTTCAAAGTCAGAGTGCATCTGCCCGAGCAGCAAGGAATAATCAACTGCACACAATTAAGCCAGTAAAATGGATGTACACACAAAACTCAAGCCCTGACACAAAATTAAAGTCCAATCTGATGATCAACCAGGATTTCTGCCAGAGCTTACAGGCGGTGAACAAAGAAGAAGAAGAAGAAGGAACATATTTCTTTGATTTTTCTCTTCCATTCTTGTCTAATGTTAACTCCTTATTTAACCAGTTGTTACTGTAACACCTGCTCTTCCAAAATTATATTTTGTAACTAAAAGACTTTTAAAAAAACCTATTGCTCTAGGATACAAATACTTTACAAAGACAATGTTGAATTCAACATGATCTGGGCCCGAAAGAGTTAAATCCCTACCAGGATCCTCATCTTGTTGCATACTTCTGTGAGGGTGGCTTGCTGGATCACGATTTGCAGCTAGGCGGTAATATAAATCTATATAAATCAGATTTCAGCAAAAATTTGGAGGGGAAGGCGAGTTTTTTAACACAGTCCCTGTAGAATTTTACTGGGCCATGAGAAAAGTCTCTACACCAAACCTGAACTCATAAAAAATATTGTAATTTAAACATGAGATGATCACGACAGGGTGGAATCCAAGTCAAGACAGCGGCTGGAGTCTCTGAGAAGGTCATAGGGGAAGGAGAGCTCTCCAACAGTCTCTGTGGAGTTTACTCGGTCAAGAGAAGACTGTACATGAAAACTTACTCCTTAAACAAAAAAAAAAGGGTCATTTAAGCATACGATGATCGGGTGGAATCAAGACAGTGATTGAAGATTCGGAATGAGGGTGTCATAGGTGATGACATAAAATAGTCAATGAGGAAACAAACAAGCCCATAGACATTAACTAGACTACCTGGGGAAAGCTGATCAGCAACAGACCATGCTGACATGTCAAATGGTATCAAAGAAACAGGTCAAGGAGAAGCACAACCTCAAACACCAAGGAAACTAGTAGATGCAAGACCCTTTCAGGACTTAGTAAACCAGCTAGCTAGCAATGAACAAAATGTTAAAGAGTTACCCAAAAAAAAAACTGTTTTCAAAAGGGTCCAGATGACCAATTCACCCCTCAAGGGTAAATAACGTAAAAGAAAAAGTAAAGGTCCCTTTGCATGCCAGCAGTGGCGCGCCAGGCATTTGAGGCCAAACTCATATTTTTTTAAACAGATAAATCGGCCACTGGCGGGTGATATGATCAGCATCATTCCGGCCATCTTTACTTCCCAGGACTTTACCTGGTACCCATTTAAACCTGGGTCAACCTGGGAGCCATGGTCATGTCTGAACAAATCTGACTCTTGACTCCATGCAGATCTGAACCCGCAACCTCCAGATTCAAGGACAGCATCCGGCAGCTATACCACAGTGGCTCCCCAAGGGTAAATAATGGAATATAAATGCTGGGGGAAAAAAAAAATTAAAACTCACTGAGGATGATGTTGGTGGCCATCTACCCTGTGGCCCGGGTCCACCAGGCCTGAAACATACAACAGAGTTAGTTATAGAAATGTTAGTCATAGAAATGTTGGTTACAGAAATGTTAGTTATAGAAATATACACACAATCATTATGTAGCAGATCCTTTGCAGAACGTCGCTCTCATCACAGTCTGCCTGAAAGAACTCGGTCTTTCGTCAGTTCTGAGATTTGCATTGTTGGTTGTCAATATTTCTCCTCTTCTTTGTCAAAGATATTCTGAGAATCTTTCTATAGGATTTCAGCTTAAAAGCCCCTATTCTCTTTCTTAAGTACTGAGAGATAGTCCACGACTCACATCCGTATGTAGCCACAGGGAAGATGCATGCTCTTAAAATTCTAATTTTTATCTCCTTGCTGGTGCTTATCCAAAGACTTTTAAGGCTGTTCAATTTTTGCATTGCTATGGACATCCTCCTTTTAATTTCTGTCAAACAGTCTCGATTGCTGTTTATTATAGAGCATTGATATTCAAAGATAAAGATAATATTGTCATGAATTATACATACAGGTGACTGTGTCCCTTCAGTAACATCTGTTCATTATGTTGTTAAATGCACAGCACAATTAGTTTTGGAAATATACATTTTATACTGTCATTAGTTATACAGGTGACCACGTCCCATCAATAACATACGTCCTTAACATTGTTAAACATACAAGACAATTAGTTACATAAATACACATAATATTGTCATGAATAATACAGGCGACCGTTTCCCTTCAGTAACATCTGTTCATTATGTAGTTAAATATACAGCACAATTAGTTATAGAAATACACATAATATTGTCATCAATTATATAGGCAACCATGGAGGCAACCATGTCTCATTAGTAACATCTGTTGATTATGTTGTTACACATACAACACAGTTACAGAAATACACACATATATATTTCCACAGAAATACACATATTGTCATGAAACTATATCATGTCCCTTCAGTCATATCTGTTCATTAAGTTGTTACGCATATAGCACAATTAGTTACAGAAATACACACAATGTTGTCATTAGTTATACAGGTGACCATGTCCTTTCAGTAACATTTGTTCATTATGTTGTGACATGCACAACATAGTTAGTTATTTAAAACACATAATATTTCATGAACTATATACAGATGATCGTGTCCCTTCGTCGGTTCTGTGGCAAAGTCGATGCGAATGCTTCATAATGCCGGGATACCATGTTCGATCCCAGCTGCGGGCCATGCGCCTTGTGTTGGTTTCAACAGCGGTATCAAGAACGCCAACCGTCCAGAAAGCAATGGCAAACTACTGGATGTAAATTTTCCTAGAAAAATCACACAACAGCCAGGGGCTGTTGGGGTTGGCTCTGCAACGTCCTGTAAAGGATACGCAACTAACCTAACCCTGTCCCTTCTGTAACATACCTCCTTTATTATGTTGTTAAACCTACAACACAATTAGTTATAGAAATACACATAATATTGTGATTAGTTATCTACACAATGTGTGCTTGATGTCTGACCACTGTCCATCTGTTTCATACTGCCAGTGCATTCAGCCTTAACTCCCTCGTCCCAAATAAAACAAACCAAAAGCTGGCCCACACTGTGGACCCCTAGGTTGCAAGATGATCATTTGGCCGAGCAGATAAAATGCAGGGCTCTCACTTGCATGACCCAGGTTTTATTCTTTGATAAGGTTGTGGCATTTATTTTCAAAAGGGCAAAAATTAACGCCTAGCCTGCACAGTTCATAATGACTGCATTTGCCTTACAAATGTGTTTGGCAGAAAGCTGCAGATTTCGCTGCCTAGATGCAAAAGATGATGAAACATAAGTCACAGATTAGCTAACAGATGGTTTTGTATATAGGACTTCCAGTTTCAAAATGCGAATAGCAGCGGTGTTATTTTCAACGGCTGTGATTTCTCTTGGATTGTTTTATTTCCCTATTATGAACTGTTATTTTGTGCACATTTTCAGTTCAAGATACAATGTGTTTTTCAGGGGAGCAGCATATACTCTGGTTGTGCTTCATAAGGGCAGAATAATGACTGAAGGATTTGGCAGCCTCCACCGTGCTGCCTTTGCAGTATTGTGATCATGGCGGCCCACTATCTGGGAAGACATTATTCTCATCTAGGCACTGTCTAGAGAGCAAACTCAATAAAAGCTGTCCCTAGAAACGGAATGTGTCAATAATTTTTTTTTAGTTGGGAGAAATCGACACATACGGTTAATTCAATAGCCATGCGCAAAGATTTATCCAGCTGTGGTACTACCATGTTAGGTAACAGCAAAGATTTATCCAGCTGTGGTATTACCACGTTAGGTAACAGCAAATATTTATCTAGCTGTGGTACTACCACGTTGGGTAACAATCAGGTGAAAGCAGGACTCACACCCACATCTCAAACATGTTTACCCTTAGCCACAGTCAGCCTTGCGGCTTCCTGCGTTGCTTGGGGAGGGCACGGTATCACTTCTAACTGTGAGGACACACTTCCACCCCTGGTAATCATGCAGTGAGTCATTCCAAAGGCGTATTTAACAAACAGAGAGAGAACTAGAAAAATGTTTGTTAGCAGAGAAAGTCAAGATTATCTGCATTCAAACGACGCTCTTTGCCAGTGTCTTCATGCTGAACAGACACCAGATTATGTCTTGCAAGAGTGTCCTCTCTTGGCATAGCTGCGAAGAAACATGTGGCCACACCCAATAGACCTGAAGAAGTAGAAGAAGAAGCTAACAGGTACACATGGATGACACACAACAGTAAGTTGAAACCACTAACCAGCAAGCACTGTTTGATGACACACAACAATAATAAGATAAAACAACATAACAAAGACATATTAGTCTCTCTCTCTCTCTGGTTGTACCCCACCAGGACACCACACAAGCGATAAACACCCGGTGACACAAAGTGCCACCATGCGGATGAGGATCACCTGTAGAGAGCTCCCCAAAAATCCCTTTCAGCTGTTAGGCCATATTTATGGCCCAGCTATATTCAGGACCCCTGGCAAAAGTCAGGGCGGGGCTTCAAATAACAAACAACTGCATCCCACATGGGGAGGACTAACTCTTCACAAGTCTATTTCTGTGTTCCACAAAACAATGCAGTGATCAGCAGTAGAAAAACAACAGGCCTTGAATGACACATGTTGCTCAAGCACTTTAATCCTCAAGAAAAGATAAATAATGTATCACCAAACTGCACACCAAGAATAAAGCTGTAAAGTTTAAGAAGTGAAAAGATAAAAAAAAAAAAAGCATGAATGGACTGCACATGGTGAAAAATAGCTATGTGAAGCAAAGCTGAAGTGAGTCATTCATGGCTCTGAAGGGGATAATGAATAAATCTCTCCAGTGCTTTAATAACAAGGTTGTATGCAAATTCAGCATTATGCAGGCGTACTTACAAGGAAGCTAGTGACAGAAACACCAGCTTGGGGAGAACTGACGACAGAAGTCGTCAACACATCTAATATGTGATAATTTACAGGCAGCAAATGACAGCTACACAGGATTAAGGACACTGTAACTATCAAACAGAGTGACATAACTTTAGGGGTCCCAGAAGCCAAAGCTAAAAATAAGAATCTTTATTTACACAGGACTACAGAGAAGTATAGCAAGTAGTACTTGGTGTAGCACAGGACTGCAGGGAAGTATAGCAAGTAGTACTTGGTGTAGCACAGGACTGCAGGGAAGTATAGCAAGTAGTACTTGGTGTAGCACAGGACTGCAGGGAAGTATAGCAAGTAGTACTTGGTGTAGCACAGGACTGCAGGGAAGTACAGCAAGTAGTACTTGGTGTAGCACAGGACTGCAGGGAAGTATAGCAAGTAGTACTTGGTGTAGCACAGGACTGCAGGGAAGTATAGCAAGTAGTACTTGGTGTAGCACAAGACTGCAGGGAAGTATAGCAAGTAATACTTGATGTAGCACAAGACTGCAGGGAAGTATAGCAAGTAATACTTGTAGCACAAGACTGCAGGGAAGTATAGCAAGTAATACTTGATGTAGCACAAGACTGCAGGGAAGTATAGCAAGTAATACTTGATGTAGCACAAGACTGCAGGAAAGTACAGCAAGTAATACTTGATGTAGCACAAGACTGCAGGGAAGTATAGCAAGTAATACTTGATGTAGCACAAGACTGCAGGGAAGTATAGCAAGTAATACTTGATGTAGCACAAGACTGCAGGGAAGTATAGCAAGTAATACTTGATGTAGCACAGGACTGCAGGGAAGTATAGCAAGTAATACTTGATGTAGCACAAGACTGCAGGGAAGTACAGCAAGTAGTACTTGGTGAAGCCATTATGGATAATTTCCTAGGAGGTTAAGGGGGTACCTGAGATTTGCGTTGTTGGTTTTCCATACAGGATGAGATTCTTCCTGTCAAAGGGGTTTAATTTTCAGATATCAGCCAAAAGGTGGAAAAAAACAAAAGAGACATACAGCAGATGCTCCTGCAGTAGCAACAATGGTGGTGGTGGTGATAGTAGTAGTAGAAGCAGCAGTAGTAATTGCAGTATTTGTATCAATAATGCCTTGTTCAACCCTTCTGTGTCTTTCATGCACAAAATCTATATTTACGTAGTTGAAGTGGACCGTGTGCCCTTACTTTTCCAGGAAAAAAATAACTGTTAGATAATCATAGCTGCTAGCCTAGCGACCATGTACCCCCCCCCCCCCCCCCCCCCCCTTTTTTTTTTTAACTTTAGCGAGCGAAACTACCAGATCAGTCCAGCCTACAATGGGAACCAGGAAACAATCTGGAAAGTAAAAGGTATGATCCCAATAACCCCATAAGTATCAACTTTTCTATGAAATTATGGGGCTGGCTATGTAGAGAGCCCTTTTTCAATTGTGTTCACTCTGTACTATGTGCCAAAGAAATAATAAGCAAAACTTCATGCCTGCCAACAAAATGTCACCCATACTAAATCACATACCCAAGAACACAAAACAAACAAACAAACCGAACTTAATAAAAGCTTATAAAAACTGGTGGCTTACATGGAGAGTGGTGGCATTCCTCCTGGTCCGGGTCCCATACCTGTGTTCGGTGGTGGAGGTCCCCTATAGTTTTGCAGGGATTCATACATCTGGCAGGAGAAATGAATATCTTCATGCTCCATTGATGACAGGGCAGGTTATACATGGTTGGCAAACTAGCAAAGAACTTATGATCTGAGACTGGCACAAAGAACCAAGGAACATAGGTGACTTAAGCTGTTGAGGAAATTTGGCACGAAGCAAATAAAAACGCTATATGTGAATGGAAAACTATGCTCAGTCAGCATACCATAAGGAAGTTAGTAAAAGTAAAGGGCCCTTTTCCATGCATACTGGGCATACAGTATTAGAACTATACTTTATAGACTAACTGGTACTTATTGACAAACAAAACTGCCATGGAGAAGGAAATATATGTTAATGAGGAAAGATTGGAAGTGGTGGAAAATTTCGAATATCTTGGGTCACTGGTTACCAACAATGGTGACACAATGAAAGAAATTAAACGGCGACTATCAATTGCTCTTCAAAGACTAAAACAACTGAATAAATTATGGAATTGTACAGATAGAATTACAAAGGTTAGATTTTTAAGAGCATGCATCTTTCCCATTGCAACATACGCCTGTGAGACCTGGACACTTACTAAACAAGCGGAACAGCGCATAAATGCATTTGAATATAAATGTTACAGACAGGTTCTAAGAATATCTTGGGTAAAGAAAAGAACAAATGCATCCATACTTCAAGAGCTGAATATTGAAGAGGGTTGGCTAGTAAAGACAATAAAACAAAGAAAATTGAAAAAATTTGGTCACTTGAAACGTCATGGAAGTCTAGAGAGAACAATAATGGAGGGGTATATGCCTGGGAAGAGAGGAAGAGGAAGGCCAAGGAGAAGATGGGTGCAGGATGTGGCAGATGATCTCCAGATGGGTGTATCAGACGCAGGACATCTTGCTCAGGATAGGAAGGTTTTCCGGAGGGTTGTTATGGCAGCGAGGTTCCGCGAGGGACATGCTACTGAATGAATGAATGAATGGTACTTATTGGGTTATGAGGTTAACATCACTCTGGCCGCTTTTACTTCCAAAGAATTTACCTGGGACTCACTCAAGGCTGGGTGAACATGGAAACCAAGGTCATCTAAAAAAAAAAAAAGTCTGGTACCATTAGGAATTGATACGACTTTCCAATCTGTAGGCGAGAGTCTAGCCACTACACCATGGTAGCTGGCTGAATGGTTGAGAACACTGAACTTTTATGCAGGACAAGAAACTCAAGTTTGAATCCTAGGTAAGGTTGAGGATTTTTTTGGTACGGGACAAAATACAATCCTAGCGACAGCACTAGCCATGCCGCCCTAAAACCTCGGGCTCCAATACCTCCTGCTTTCACCGTTAAAAAGTTAGTTGCTAATGCTTTACAGGACGTTGCCAAAACAACCCTAGCCTTTTTTGGCTGTTGTGGTTTTTCTACTCAAATTTACATTTAGTAGTTTGCCATTCCTTTCGAGACAAACTGTCCGCAGTTGCAATCGAACCCGACATTACAAAGCTCATTCGCAACACCTAAGCCACGGACACCGACTGCCTACACCATATAAGTGGTAAATACAGGTAGTATAAGCAGTTGAAAAAAAAATAATTAACAGGGAATTACCAAATTAAATGTCATAGAACAATTCTACGAATGCATGAATCAAGAAGAAGAAAAAGACTGACAATCTGTAAGATCTGACAACTAAAGAAAAGTGGCCCTTAAACATCATTATGATTTGGAAACAGAAATACTCTACCAGTTTACATGTCACAGCAGCTTGAAAAGAACAGCAGCCATATTTTTCCATCCAAGTCTCTCCGGAACCTCTGTATTTAATTTTTTTTTTTTCCAAAAATACAATATACGCTTCTGCATATTCACATTTCCAGGACCATAATTCAATTTTCAAATTGCTTATCCATTTGCTGTAATAAGTGTAATTAATTTTTCAAGCTGAAATGTGCTTTATAAATTATTCCCTAGATAATTGTTGAGTGCAAACTGTCACAGACATAATAACCTTACTTATTGATATTGACTGCAAATTTTTTACCCACCAGGACGTCACACAAGCAATAAGCACCCAGTGACACAAAGTGCCACCATGCGGATGAGGATCACCTGCAGAAAGGTCCCAAAAACCCCTTTCAGCCATTTAGACCATATCTATGGCAAGACCATATCTATGCCCCGGCTATATTCAGAGCTCCCAGCAAAGCCAGTGTGGGGCTTCAAATAACATAAAATTGCATTCCACATGGGGACAACTTGTTTTTTTAAATTGCCTTATTGCCGTGCCAGGTAAGTATGATATAGATATTATATGGATAGAAAACCAAATAGCATTGATAAATGGCAAAATTGGCTGAAAGAAATTATTTATAAGATACTGCACAGGAAAACACTTAAAATACCATCAACTTTGTATATTCCAATGAAAACAGTGAGGTTGAACCGGATATTATGTTAGTCTAATCATTACTACTGCTGCTGCTGCTACTGCTGCTGCTGCTACTACTACTACTACTACTACTAGCAGCAGCAGCAGAATTAATTTAGATGTTTTGGTTTCTAATACATTATCTGACAGGCTTTAACCAGATTACAAGGTAATGGCGATAAAGCTGAATGCTGAATTCGGATTTTACATCACAACACTCTGGACACTCCCATAAGTGCTCCGTCCCTATCTTCAGCAACAAACGAAGAGTTCCAATTCTGATGGCACCAGTAACTTTCTGATTATAGAACCGTCTCGCCTTTCCCTTGAGTGTTGAGCATCGGCCATATCCCCTGGCAACTTCTCACTGTGCCTTTGTCCTCAGACCATAATGATCTATTTGCGCTTCCGCATTGTTCACTCGCTCCCAAAAGGCCCTCACAACATCTAGCTAGTCATACATCAGGTCACCATCAAGTGCTGGCCAGCCTATCTGCCTGCTCATTTCCCAACACACCAACATGACCTTGAGAGAATATCCAAAGGATGCTAACTACCCGGGACCTCTGAAGTGATGCTTGTCACTCTGCACGGAGCATACCCGTCTCCCCCTTTCTCAACATGCTCTGTGGATCAGTTACAATCACGTCATGTGTGTACAGCTAATTCTCAAGCCAAAGGAATGCAGCAGTGACTCCTCCACCTTCATTCTCAAACTAGACATTGTGATATCATATGCCAAGCTCTGCTGCACTAAGCAACATCCATTTTTGCTTTTGCTTCGAACCTCCGTGCACTTCGTGGCGACAAAGAATGTTCTTCACGTATATCACTGGACTTACGGGATTCATTGGCCCTGGCATTCTTCCTCCAGGATGACTCATTCTCTGCATGGGGCTCATTCCTGGATGACCTGTCAACAGACAAATAGTATAAAGTTAAAGGAAACAATGACTGTGTGTACACATCTATTCTGGCATTAAATCATAGTGTAGACCCTTTAGTAACCTAATAAAACTCACAGGTACTGACTGTCACTCAGAAAATTTACAATAAAACTTTTTTGATATGAAGATGCTGAAGAGGAACACTTAGTTAACATGAAAACCATTTCCGTTCCAGTGGGGTTGTCATCATCATTATCAAGTGCCATGCTGACTGGTGTGGGTGATGATGCCTCTTTACAATCGTTGATCCGCAACTGCATGTATCAGTTTATGTGCTGTCACCCTTCCATGACATGACAAAAAGTTGTCAAAAATCTTCTTGCGCTGTCTTCTTCCTCTGTCCCTCTTTCCACAGATCTTTTCAGTGGTCACATGTTTTAGTTTCCTTTTTCTCATAACTTGGTGAAAAAATTATGACTGTCTCTTTCTGATGTTTTTGATGAGTTGTCTTTGAGCACTCGCCACTTTCAAAACATCTTGAAGAGGCGATGTACATATATTATTATATGTATTAGTTCCCAGTTGGCAGTGTTTTTTTTTTTTAAACACAAACTCTTCATTTTTAAGTCCTTTGAATTATTTTTGTAATTCGTGTTAAAATGAGTTGTTATGATTAAAGGATCTGTAGCCAGTTAAAAGAAGAGTAACAAACACTTTGAAACAGTAAGCCATTATGATTACATAAAAACAATCATTCCAAGAGTTTAGAAAGAAACAAGAAAAGTTAAGTTTGTGGTCAGCAGATCCTACTTTTTGATTATAGTAGAAAATTATACTGACTTATACATGGAATTCACAGCACTTCATGATTCATACAGAACTGAACAGTTGTTTAAAACAATAAAATTAATTTCTGGCTTATTTTCAGCTTTTCACTGTTCGGGGAGGTGATTGGAGCAGATTATAACTCTCTATACTTCACTGTCATGTTCACGATGTTGATGCTGCTTATATTATTTGTTGCCCATGCTCTTTTTATTTTTTTATATTAATATATTTTAATTCAGTTCACTATCAGTTGATGTTAGTAATGTAAAACAAACACACACACACACCCTCCCCCCACACATATATGTAACAGAAAGGTAAGACCTATGCAATATATTTTTGTCAACTGAAGTAAGCAGGTTCTTAAGAACTACTTAAAGCTAACCATACACTTATGACATTAATTTTCAATACAAAATCACAATTGACGATCTTTAAACAGAATGGACAACTCAGTATAAAATTGTAGGATTTCTTAAGTACAAATTCAAAACGATTCAATAATACATTAGCAACACTCTCTTAGATATGGATCATTTCTACTTGTCGCCGCCTCACTGGCTCTACCTTAAAAGAAAAAAAAATATATTAATTAAGTGGGTGTTTTCAAATCTCAAGTAGCCTGGGTGTTTATTTGCGCACCACGCTTAGGTTAGTTAAGGTATTTAAGGTCAGTGAGTACATTACTGGAGCCTCTTTTTGTAATAGCCCAAACTCTACCCGGTCCATTGTGAGCCCCAATTTAACCATACGATTAGACTTTTAAGGTCTGATTTTTGTACCTGAGGGATTCTCGTCTGAATTGTACCTGGGGGATTCTCGTCTGAATGACGACCCTTTGTGCCACAGGTGTATAATCGCCCAGTATGCGATCCTAGAGGGGTTCAACATGGATGCATGGGTGGATTGATATTACAGATATAAATGTTACACAGACAGACAGACAGACAGTCATAAAAAAGAAAGAGAACAAACAAACTTTATTTTGAAATAGTCACAAATTGGGCACGCAGGCCTGTCTTACATTCAGCCTTTCCAATTACCCATCTGTCGCACAGCAGTTATAATTTACTAATAAAAGTATGTTATGATCATGAATATCATAAAAGAACACTAAAGCATGGGTTGTAAAAATGCATGCAAAAACTCGTGCGCGCATACACACACCCACACGCTCACCCACTCACTTACACACACATACATGCATATATACATACAGAGAGGGTGAGAGAGACACACAAACACAGAAAGAGAGAGAGAGACAGAGAGAGAGGGGGGAAGGGAGGGAGAGAGATGGAGAAGGAGAGGTCGAGCGAATCTTCAATTACCCTATTTAATTACAATGACACTGTATACAGTAATCGCCTTTCTTTCATCACCGCCGATATACAAAATGCTGCAACAAATATAGAACAAAACAGACATATCTCTAAAGAACATAATTCACTCAGTGTACATTTTCTCTTCCCCCAAGTGGTTTCCCAAGTAATGAATGTACTTTTGTTTATTAATGCTATTTTATTTATTTATTTGTGGCACGCCCGAAAGCCCGAAGTGGAGCCTGCAAGGTAATACTCGATCACTAAGACTGAACGAACGCCCGCACCTAACTAAGACAGTAACTGACTGACAGTCGCGTACAGCGCGCGTCGTGCCCGTTGAAGGACTGTGGTTTGTGGCGGAGAGACGGGACCGTAGTAATAGACAAGCTGCTAGCAGACGACTGACTAGATGTGGAGCGGGAATGTTTGCAAAGTTTTCGCTTTTCGTGTAATTCTGTATTAAATTCGTCTGGAGTGTTTTATTCATAGCTATTCCGTGTTTAAAGCGATTTCAGTTTGATGGATTGCATTTTAACTCGTGTGCCGATAAAAAGAAAACGTAAACAAGATTCCGTACAGTGACAGCGTTCTAAAAGTATAGTTTGGAAATACAAGTTATTTACAAGCAAATTGCCTGTTGTTAAATCAACCGTGTTTATCATGATGTGTGGAATCGAGAACTGAAACAAGTAAGTCCTGTCTAAAATTTAATTTCTAGAATTTGTGTTTTCATTAGCAGTTAGAGATGCTATACAGCTCAATTTTCAACTAGTTCATTGCATCGCTTGTACGTGCTTCCTCTGCTTCATTCGCCCTTAAATAAAAGCAGAGGGGTCATTCTATTGTGGTTTACAGCTAGTCTGCGATATCTGAGGCTTTCGACACAACCTATCCGATTTCAGCAAATGCTTAGTCGTTTTCTTTTTTATGTCTGTTAATGGAAGTGGGCGAGGGGGTGGGGGGAGGCTAATACTAATACACCCTCAACCCCTAAATAGGACCCAGGATCCCTTAGGGGAATATTCGTAGTTCGAAACTTCAAGTGAAAACAACAGGCGCCAGTGACAGTGCATGGTTTGACTTACCAAAGTTGTGGAAGGACAACAGGTGATTGAGAAATGAGCATCCTTAGAAATCGGAGTGCATCTGCCTGACAGGAATGAAACCAAGAGTCTGCTTATAAATAAGCCAGGTCTGTAAAAAGGATGTGCACACAACACTCAGGTTCTGGAACCAGGCTGCTTAAGACCAAAAGTAGACGAAAAACCAGAACTTTCCCGTCGGAGTTTACAGCTGGGGAACGAAAAGAAGAACTAACCATCTTACTTCGCCAAGGAACATCAATTACCATGTAAAAAAAATGGGGGAAGAGATAACTGCATTAATGTAACACTTCAATCAAGGCGAGTGCTTATCGCAGGTTAGCTGCATGATTTCCATCACACCATTTGTTCTCTTGTTTGTACACTCTCAGACTGCTGTTCGTCCATCTCTTACTCCTTCGCCTTTCGACTTTTCCTTTAAGTACAGTTTTTTTTTTAAAGTTGTCTTTAAATGTGGCAGATATAAATTTATGTCAGCAATTCTCTTTGCACACATAGCCTCGTCAGAACAATTGCAAAGTAACACTTTGGAGACAACGGTAAATACCAAATGTTGTCCTTTTTAGGACGAAATTTTTTGTCATTTGAAGCCCCACTCCTGCTTTTGCCAGGGGCCGTAATATAGGCAGGTCATCATTATGGCCAAATGTCTGAACGCGGTTTCTGGGACCTCTCCACGGCGATCCTCATCCACATGGTGGCACTTTGTGTCATCGGGTGTTTATCGCTTGTGTGATGTCCTGGTGGGGTAAAAAGCCAAACCAAACCAAACACTTTGGAGACTGCAAAAAATATGTACAAATAAACACGTTTAAAAAAAAAAAGACCCAGAAACCATTGGTACTATGGATATTGCAACCCTTCGGCCTTGATTCCATGATAGATACCGTAAATCTGCGAGAAATGTGGCTTTTCTGCCTTCCCCGGGCATGAATCCGGACCACAAGGAGTTCGTCACCCGCGAAGTCAGGTTTAACCAACAACGCTATCGAGCTGGGCAAATAAATAAATACGATAAAATAGAGTGACTTACAGACGGTTGGGGTTCTATGTCCAGTGAGGACATACTAACAAACCACTAGCCGCTCTTGCAGCAGATTATGAAAGGATTTTGACTGTGATTTGCCACGCACAGGACGTAACAATCTGACGCTGTATTCAAGAGAATGAGATCTGTAAAACTGATGCACACGCAACACTCAGGTTCTGGAGCAGGACTGCAGTTCAGTAGTGGACGAGCAACCAGAACCTCCGCCAGAGTTTACAGCTGGTGAACGCGAAGAAGAAGAAGAAGAAGAAGAAGCTTTGATGAACATTACCATTACATTCGAGTCCACTTAAGTCGAACTCGGATAAGTCGAATTTCGGTTAAGTCGACATGACCAGCTTAGTCCTGGCAATTTTCTCTGTTGTGTGTGCTGTCTGGATAAGTAGAAATCCTGATAAGTGGAAGCATTTTCTTAGGTCCCTGCGACTTCTACTTATCCAGACTCGACTGTATTTTCCGGTCATCATACCTCAGTAGACTTTGTAATTATTGCCACAACACTCCCCCTAACCCCGTCCCCCCTCTTTCCTTCCGTGATTTCCGCACGGTTTCTTTTCAATGGACAATTAAAAGGGTATTTTATGTAGTGATAGAAATGTACGCTAGCTGAGAAAGAAAATTCAACAAAGGACACAGGCAGCCAATGGAGAGAAATAACACAAGAGATATATAAACACGAATAAGCAGATAGAACATAGGGCGGTAACTATGTAATCCATCTTCTT